AAAAACATTTACAATTATTTCTTTAAAAATGTACTGGTGTGGTGTGTTCCATGAACAACAAGAGGCGTGAGGTTGTCAAAAACATGCAAAAAACATGGGCATAAATGCAGTCAGCAAATGTAGCTCATATAATATAGTTCCATTAAAAAACAAACAAAAAAAAACATTGAGACACTTCACAACTTAACTTTTTTTTTTTTAAGGAAAGAATCAAAATGATTTTCTTTGGTGATCATCATTATGCTGAACCTATCAAATGAGCTTAAACCGGAAAGCCAGAAACAGGTCAGAAACATGCATTTGTCTAACTCTGACAGAATTCTGATCAAACGAGCGATAACTGCGCGTGTGGTTTGGTGAAGTGTCAGCAGCGTGTGCAGCTTGCAGAGTCACGAGCTGTTATCTAACGCAAGCTCAGCACCGCGGACAGCTCCACACTCCTGCACACAGTGAAGAGATCCACACAGCTCTGTCCCTGCACCGCCATCAGGAGATTCCTTACTGCACAGCCTAAAAATAGACATCTGAAACCCAGCAATATTCATCAGATTTAAAGAGATAGCTCACCTGATGTGTTACACCCCATCTTGTTGTTCCAAAACCATTCAACCTTTGATTTTCTTCTTCCAATTCAAGATATTTATGGATTTAAAGTGACATAATTTTATTAGAAGTTCTGCAACTGATCACCTTTTCTTTAAATTTTCACTTGTATCTTCTCTAATTCACTTGGAATGGTGTGATGTAAAGAATTAATTTGAAAAGTACAAACATTCCACTCAATTAATATGAGCTCATAAAAAGTGTAAATAAGAGTCATAAAAGGAAAATCAAGAAAGAGCTTTTTTTTTTTTTAATTAAGTTTGGCATGTCACAGGACATGTCAATATTCACCCAGTCATTTATTTTTCTATTTTTTGCAATCATTCATTACATTTATTTGTTTATTTATATCAACGATTGTATTGCTTTATTTATTTCAGTATTTATTTATATTTCGTCATTCCTATAGCACTTAAGTAGAAAAAAACTACAAGCTACTAACAGAAATGACCTAACTTACAATGAAGCTAGTTAGGAGAGGAATGTATCTTTAGAAATAAAGAAATAATAATAATAATAATAATAATTCAATGACACACTTGAAACACAGAAACAACAACAAAAATCCTAATCAGAAAGTATTTAATAAATAAATAAATAGTTTTACAAAATCCACAGTATCATCAAACACGCTCCGAAATGCTCATCTCTCTTCTACATATCTCTACTTTTTGTAGATAATAATAATAATAATAATTTTTTTATTTTATTTAAATTAACTGATTCAAAAATAATTTACAGAGTTTGCATTTTGGATCTTCTTTATGTATAGCAGATGATTTAGTGAAATGTTTTGGATTAGTTCATGGACATAGTTTGGACATTGTTCCCTTAAAGAAGCTTAATGTAGTTAATTAAGGGTAGCTTGATTACTTTCTAAGTAGCTTGTAGCTTTCCTCACATGGTTTTGTTATAAACATTAGTATGCAAATTGCACATTAATATGCATTATACACCTGCGGTGGACTTTTAACAGTGCGGCGGTAGAGAGGATCACAGATGTGCTGAGATGAGTCTGTGGACACCAAGATGCAGCGGCTGATCATGAGCTCCACTGTTTTTACTGTTTTAAGGTATTACTATATAGCATGCTATCATTTAGAGCCAGCAGAAGAAAAACTCTCTCCGTGATTGATTTGAGTTGCTGAAGAATAAGAGAGCCAGCCAAACAAAAGTGCAAGATGTAAAATGTTGGGAACCGTGTGTATGTTAGCAGTTTTCCTGAATCAGACGCTATTTTGTGTGTCCTGGTGTATTCAGGGATTAAAGTTCTGTCGCTGCGACGGATTTCCGTCAGTTCATACTGAGCCTCATTGAATGTCTGAAAATGTACCTACAAGCCACTTTTGTGTTCTTTTTGTGCCACCTCTGTAGTACAAATTAATTTATTAATACTAACTTCATATGATTGGTAACTTATTTGTCTTATACTACATATTGTTTTAAATAGAAATTTTAAAAAGATTATAAACATAAATGTTTGAATTTGACATAGATGAAAATGATGCCATTGCAGAGGTAAAAAGAAATTACTCTTGTAAGTCACTTTAAGGAGTCAAATGTCAGCTCGTAATAGGAAGGCTAATTTTTGATCAGAATTTTTGATTATTGATCAGAAGGTGCTCCTAAATGTTAGGGACAAGCGCTCCTAATTACAAGAAGAAAAACACTGCTCTTAAACTGGGTGTGTGACAGGTATGGCTGAGGAATGGGGTTTGGTCGAAGAAAAGTTTCAGTCAAAATATTTTTTTTTTGCTTTAACCCCTGCAATATAATAATAAGTAAAATAAGACAAATAAGTTACCAATCATATGAAATTATTATTAATAAATTAATTTGTACTACAGAGGTGGCACAGAAGAACACAAATTGGCTTGTGGGTACATTTTCAGACGTTTAATGAGGCTCAGAGCAGGTGGTGGCAAATCACTGATTTTATCACTGAATCATTCATTCAATTGATTCGTTCGAATGGCTGAATCATTCAGGAATGAAGCAAGTGACTGTCTTTATGAACTGACGGAAATCCGTCGCAGCGACAGAACTTTAATCCCTGTGTATTCAGCAGTGGCTGTGTCATTGTGACAGTGGACAGCGTGTCCTTTTGAACGAATGCTTTCCAGCAATCAGGGTGTTCCTGTGCTTGCAGTGAATGCATCTGCTGTTTTATCCTGCACAGCTGGAGCAGGACTGGCCTCTGCTGCAGACAGACTCCCAGAGTCACTGCAAACCTCACACTACATCACTCCAGCAGGAAATCATTGGAAATAATTGGACATGACCTGAATGTGTGTACATCATAAAACAGATGGATTTCTAGATGCATTTCTTCATCAGTGTGTGGTTTATAGTTATTTAGTCGTGAATATGTTACCCAGTTCAAATATGGGATTTGTCAGAATCTTTGTCAGTGTTTATCTAACATCAATCTAGTGTTATATAATATGCGCTCAATGCATACGCAGTAATCAGTTATTATGAATCATTGCATTTGCGCAATATTCTGCATGAAGTACCATATTTAATCACACTCATGTGATTCACTCCAAGTGAAAATACTTTGGTGAATATGAATAAAAAATGCCCTTTACATTTCAGTTTAATGAAAATAAATATCATTAACCAGATTCATCATCTATCGGGAATATCATTAACAATTATATTAACTTCCTGTGCCCTCATAAACCAAATGGTTTAAGCAAAACATATATTTTCTTTATTATTATTTGAAAAATAATTTGTGTCTTGTGTGTTTTCATGTGTCCGTCTCTGTTTGTGATTTTGTTTATCAGAAATGGCTCCTTTAGCTTTCCATCTTACATTACAATGCAAAGATATGCAGAGACATGACATGAGAAGTGTTACTTTCTATGAATAGTGTACAAATTAGAGCCTTAAACTCTTTAAAATATTTGATATTTTAGTATTCAAACAAAAGTGTTATATGAGAACAAAAAATATTTATTATTATTATTAAAAAACTGTAACAGCATGGGTAAAAGGGTTGCAAGTTTTCAATTCACCTCCACCTCTTTCGGATAAAACTGAATGCATGTTTGGTACCACTTGCTGGATATTTCACTTTAAAAGTGTTTCAAGGTGCACATTATAACAATACGTCTGGTCCGGAAATTATTCACTTAAAATTGTAAATTTACTTTGCTGATTTTAATAGACTACCAGAATCGTATCCCTTTCTTCTGACGGCTGTTTGTTATGGTTAATGGGATTTGTTTCCACCAGAATGTTTAAATCTGCTCTTCCTCTTCCTGCAGCCTGTGGGACGGCGAATGCGGGTGCGGAGGACGAGGGGGAGGCGGAGGCCGGTTGGATCGAGGGGGCTGCTATCTTACTCTCAGTGGTCTGTGTTGTTCTGGTCACGGCCTTCAATGACTGGAGCAAGGAGAAACAGTTCAGGGGTTTACAGAGCCGCATCGAACAGGAACAGAAATTCCAGGTGGTGCGAGGAGGGCAGGTCATCCAACTTCCTGTGGCAGATATTTTGGTTGGCGATATTGCACAAATCAAGTATGGTATGTGTCCTCTTTTTTTTTATCCTGTTTTTAGAATTGAATGGCACAGGCTTATAGGTCCTTTACATGCAGTCCGCTAGCAGTCACATGGCACTACATGGCACAAGCTGATTGGCCTGTACTGATTCTGTACTGATTCTGCAGTGAGATTGCTAGCTCAACATTTAAATACTTTAGTTTAGCATTGGCTGTAAGGCCCTGTTTACACTGGTATTAAGATGTGTTTTGGTCGATCAGAACGCAAGCATACAAGGCAGACTCATTCCCGTTTGCATCTGCTGTTTTAATACATCTCTTTTGTCCACATGCAAACACTTTCTTGATTTCTTTAAGGGGAGGGTCTATAAATGGGTGTATGCATGGGCTTTTTCTGATCTTTTGATCTAATGTTGCGAAATAAGCTCATGCAATTTACACATATACGTGAAAAGAGCCAACAGAAAACAATACGGAGAGCAGCAACCTTTGGTGTTGTCCACTTGTGATCGGATCAACACAAATGAATCTTAATACCAGGTGTAAAGTTGGGCCTGCAGCACACTATCAGAGTTCCTCCGAAATCCTCCACCTCCCCCAGCTCCACCAGTCTGTTAGATTTGCTACATGGTTTATGTACACCCATTCATGCAGCAGCGGCATGAACTACATTAACAACCAACTTCATTAATATTGTCATATCTTATTAACATGTTAAAACTATCCCAAGTACTGTTATGACTGAAGTAGTTAATGTATATATTAGTATATAGTACAGTATACATGGGTGATTCTTCAATGTTTCTGTCTTCTAGAATAATTTTAAAAAGACATTTTGTGTGGTGTGACATGCTAAACTCCATCTAAAACAATTTTAAATAGTATTGAGCTCAATCTTTTAAAATTATCATTCATGCAGCTTTTATGAGCTCATATTAATTGAGAGACTACAGTACATAAAATATGTATACTACAATTCATGTCACACTACAAAACCATTTAAATAATTTATTGAAGACATAAAGGTGATGAAAAATGGTTAAAAACATTCTAAGAAATACCTATCAGTTGCAGTATCTACAATATACACATTATCCTTAAATCTTGATTAAAAAAAAAATCCATGGACGTGTCTAAATCTATAATATAATGTAATATAATATAATAGATGAAATGTAGTTTTAAGAAGTACATTTTTCAGGATTTATAATTGAAGGTTCACCCATATGTAATTTGAAGTCCACTAATTAAGTGGTGCGTTATCAAGAGAGCTTTTACACATGACTGGACATCACTGCTGTGCGATGAAGCAAGACTGATCTGTGTCATTAATTACAGTTTGATTATGAGAGTTGGTCAAGCTGATCAACACTGTCTAGTCTGGAGATTTTATCAAACAAAAGGGCTGTGCTGGTTCTGCAGTGTTGGAGAGGTTCTGGTGGTTATTTCGGATCTCCTGAACAAGTGGGAGGCAGATAATGTAGCTGTTGACAGTGACGGAGCGATCCTGTGTGTGAGAGCGTTTGGTAGGCTGGAAGAGGGGAAGATCTCCTTGACTAGTACAGTGATGGTTAGCAGTCCCAGGCTTACCGTTATTTTTGAATATGTGTGGGAGTTGATATGCTGCTTTGCAAAGATGTAAAATGAAAGCAAAATTATCTCTGAACGAAATGACATTCTCTTGATATATAAAACAACAGAAGGGCCAAATACTGAACCCTGGGGAACACCTAAAATATAGTGTTGCCTTATTGAGCACAACATACTGCAGGCCTTGTCATTTTTATGTTGACTCAGTTAGGGCTGTAAAGTCAGAAATATTGGAGAGAGATTCTGTTGTGAAATGCTTGACAAGTGCCATCTTAGAGGATCAACTTTGGAATTCTTTGGAGAAAGCAATATTGATCCAGACTTGTTGTTTGGAGAAACTGAAGGGATTATTGGAAGGAACACAATGGCACTATGAAGAGCTTTGGAGATTAGATTCTGAAATATGCTCCATTCCTGAGTGGCTGCCTGTGTTAAGAAACAGTTTTGTCCCTGCTTTGTCCTTGACCATTAGATTTAACAAGTTAAGCTAAAGAAAGACTCAGGTGTGCTTGCACATTTGCTTAAGACATTTGACTCCTAAAGTTTTTTTTTTTTTAAATCCTGTTGTTCACTCATAAAGCTGTTAGCCTGTTAACAGCTGCTTAGATGTCCCAGAGTACATCACTTTGCCAATATAAATTGGAGATCATTTAAAGACATTAAAGAAAAATGAAGATCATTTAAAGACATTATTGTGACACCACTGACCATATACACAGTGTGTTAGACATACATCTTTGGCTGTTGTGTCCCATGTTGCTGTTTTTTTTAGCACGTCACAACATGAGTACTGTACTTTTAAGATGCTGTTGTGTTTGATGCTGTTGTGTTTGTTGCGCTCTTCCATCCAGCTGTTTCATTAAGCAGTCCTGTGTGGACGTCTCCTCATTAATTTTATGAGTGAATGGCTAAATGCATTGTTTTGCATTTAATTCTTCTAAATTGACATGTTAAATTGACAGCCCTAATCCTTTTGAATTTTCATGAACTAATGCTGAATTTCTGTGTTCAGGTGACCTGCTTCCAACTGATGGGGTCTTGATACAAGGCAATGATGTGAAGATTGATGAGAGTTCTCTGACAGGGGAATCTGACCATGTGCGCAAATCTGCAGATAAAGACCCCATGCTTCTCTCTGGTGAATGCCCACTACTGCTATATTTATTTGAATGTTGTGAACTTCTGCACATAATACATATTGAAGGTCTACTTATACTATAGTGAATTAAATATCAATTCAACAGATTATGTCAGAATGAAGACGTTCTGATCGATTTTATTGGTTTAATACAATCAATACGGTCAAGACCTCTGAGATAGGACCGAACAAAACCTGGGACAGTCATGCTGTCATTCATGTGTTTGAACTAGCAACTAGCTTCATGATAATGTTATCCAATAGTTTATTAAATGTATCTATTAAAAACATATAATGACACACCAAAATATAGGGCCAGATTTACTAACAGCTTGTGCCAGCGCAAACCGTCTTTTGCCGTTAAAATAGTACTGTCAGGATTTACTAAAGAAGTGCAGTGAAGAATTAGCACTGAAAAGGCGTGGACACAGTTATTTTTGTGCCTGACCTTATTGAATATGCATTTGTAGGAGTTCCCCTTTCAGACGCAAAATTTATGGGAGGAGAGTATTCAAATCAATCACACAATGCAATTTACTAACGTTTGCGCTCGTCAAATTACTGGTATTTGCACCATTATTTAACGCCCCAAAAAAGAACGTCTTAAACTATTGCGGGTGATTTACTTATGCGCCTGCGTCATAAGTAGATCACCCGCACCTGTCTCATCGGCTCTGCTTATTTGCGACTACGCTAATTTGCGCTGTGCTTCGTATATTGTGTTGGTCGATATGTAAAGCTGACCACACACTATTGAGGATTTTAAGGCCGATTTTAAGCCCGATTTGCACCCCCGAAAAATCCTCTATTGTGTGGTGTCATTACGATTATTTAACTGCTCCCAATTGAGACAGAGCATCCCCAAACTGAAATCGTAAATATCAAACATGTTTGATATTTACGACTTTTGATCTGGCTGCCTCCGACGTGATACCCACTATTGCCAATGAGAGCGAGCAAGCGTCACCTACCGGATGTTGCATGCTTCTATAGCTGAAACTTAGCAGCCACAAACCTGCCACGAAATCAGAATACATCACCTATATTCTTTTTTATACTTTGTTTTTCACTGAGAAACAGAACGCGTGCCGGGAGAGCCAGCTGACGACATTGATTGTCCTCTATTTGTTTTTCTTCGCTAGTCACATTTGATCTCGCGAGTCTCCGTGAGATCTCGTGTCACTGTGAAATCGTTCCTACAATCATCAAGTGTGTGGTCTCGCGGTCTGGTTGAATCGGTCTAGTGTGCACGTTCAGAGGATCATAAAGCTAAAAATCGGCTGAAACTGTCTTCATGTCTGTGGTCTCCCATGGTTTTAAAATCAGTTAAGATTTGAAAATCGTCTAGTGTGTTGGCAGCTTTAATGAGATGTTACGTCTGTGTTCTTTAATTTGCGCGTTATCAGTAAATCACCCACAGAAATTTCCTCGCCAATTAGGCTCTCGCGCTAATTTGCCCTGTTTAGTAAATCTGGCCCATAGTCTGTTCATTGTCAACTGCACCATTTATTGTTATGCAGTTTTTTAAGAGAACACTTTTAATGTACTTTGATTCTACAACTTTTATCAAAAAGGACAATAGTGAACTAGTCCTCTGTTTGCTTCATGGCCAGTCAGGTGTGCATGAGCAGTGTTGGGAAGGTTACTTTGAAAATGTAATAGGTTACAGATTACAAGTTACCCTATTTAAAATGTAATAGTAGTGTAACTTTTTTAATTACTTTATTAAAGTAATGTAACTGATTACTTTTGATTACTTTTTGATTACTTTTCTAAATTTCTAATGAATGTTTTCAACTGTTAATCATTTTCAAACATTTACACCATGCAGGATTAACCTTACAGCATGTGCTCAACAATGATTACTGTCAGACTTTCAAAATCCTTCATCACTTGAATTAAGATGATAATAACTGAACACATCCACTAAAAAAAAATCAGACTTTAGTACCGCCTTTTACTTTGAGATTGATCTGAAGTTCAATGCAGATTTAAAATCATAAGAAATAGTTTACTGATACTGTTTTTGAAACCAAATCTTCGCATAAATACGGGAAACACTGCATCTAACAATACTTTGGGGAAAAAAACAGTTAATTTAAAAAATAAAATAAAAGCATATAGATCAACCCAAATATGGTTATCTAACAAGCATGTGTCCTATTCTTTGTACTAAACTCCTGAAACATTGGTGTCTTTTTGAAACATTAGTGTCTGTTTATATGATATGAACTTAATTTTTATAGAAAATTCATAATACTGAACATGAGTTATATTTTTCCCTTAAAAAAATTGACCATGATTTTATTATAGTAAAAGTACAGTAACCATGTATTTTGTTTATTTTTTTGGCAAATGGATTAACATTTGTATTTATTTTTACTAGTAATCGTTAACATTTTCATAAGTAACTGTAATTAAATTACACATTTTTTCTTAGTAACTGTAACTGATTACAGTTACATTTATTTTGTAATTAAATTACGTAACGCCGTTACATGTAACTAGTTACTCCCCAACACTGTGCATGAGGGATGGATGTTGACAGACAGCAGTCTGTGGTGTGCGTGTATGACGTCACACACTGTGTCATTTGTGCTGAGGTCAGAGCGGCCTGCTATTATTTACAGTTTCTCCATGACTTACTGCTCGGTTAACTGAATCACCAGGCACCCATGTGATGGAGGGCTCAGGTCGAATGCTGGTCACGGCTGTCGGAGTGAACTCTCAGACTGGGATCATCTTCACTTTGCTCGGTGCTGGAGGAGAGGAGGAAGAGAAAAAAGAGAAGAAAGGTGCGTAACTAAAGCTCAGCTGGGCAAAACCTCAACAGAGCTGCGTTACATCTGCCCAGGACACTTCTGTACATGTAATTCCTGTCAAATGATAAGCAGCTATTATTGTATAAAAATATTTAGGCTTAAATTGAATTTACATCTGTTTGGATTACTCAGTTTTAACATATATAAAACACAAACTAATATGATGTACGTTTCCCAATCCTACGTAAATGAAACGGGTAGGGCTGCCCTCGACTAAAGATTTTTCTGTTCAACTAGTAGTCATTCATTTGAAGCATTAGTCGACTAATCACGTTTATTAATAAACCATTTAAATCATAATAATGGCCCTTTAATTGCATACATAGCCTAATAAGCGCTCAAGCGCATGCACAAAGCTTGCCACAGCACACCGGCAGAAGTAATGATTATAAATGTGTCAGGGAAAAATAGTAAGGAAGCTGCATTAACAATTTAATAATTCACTGATAAACTAGTGCTTTCTTTGTTCTCGGTTTCGCGCTCAAGTTCACAGAGACCGAGACAGCAGAAAGCGCATCCTGTTTGCTTTCATTATTTTACAAAAGCACAACGTTTTGTTATTGTGAGTGCACACAAATAAACGTAGTCTTTACAGATTCGAAAGATGTATTACTCTTATCTGTATAAGCAAAAATGAGGGAGTGTTTTAAGAGCAAGTGAGAAACTAATTGGATTCTTTGTTTATAAATATGTCTGGTTATTGCGTAGTTATATCACAGATTCAGTTTATTAGTAAGTTACTAAGTTTCCTTTATGTATGACTGACAAATACGCGTCACATGCATCTCAAGTTTATTAGTATGCTAGTGTTAAAACAGTGTGATTGTAAAAGATGGAAATTTTATATACGTAATTGATAAAACTCTCCTTGTGTTGTCAGAACATTTAAAGTGAAAAGTAAATGTATTTACTGTTGCTCATCGATTTTTTAAAGAATTAAACTATGGTGCATAGCTCATCCCACAGGTTTGATACCTCAAATTGAGGAGTGTGTGCCGTTTTGATTGGACTTAAGAAAACCCTAGCAACACCCTGCTAAACACCCAAGTGACAATAAGTTTTGCGCAGCAGAGACAAGTTTCATTGAAAAAAAAAAAAAAACCATGCAGCTCATTTTGTCCCAATCAGAGACTGCTTTGGGGTAGAATGTGTACTGTCGTTTTCCGTGTGGCTGCTTCAGACTGACACTTGAAAATGTGCTGTTTCTGGTTGGGTAGCATGTGCTACCCGCACCGTTTGTCAGCATAAGGCCTTATGTGTGTGTTATTCTGCAAACCGCCACAGGTCAGGCTCTGGAGGATGGCCATCAGCTGGCAGGTAGAGTATGAATCTCTGTACCCGGGGATATCTGCAGTAATGCTCATTTATTACCCCACTAAACCCGCTCTGCCCTCCCAAGCCCCGCTTTAGTAACCGCGATCTTTCACTTAAAAAGACGCTCTTTTTAAGTATTTACAGAAATGCATTTTATCCATGATCCTGCATAGATGATGATCAGGAGGTTGTGATGTAACCCAGGCTTATTCCCTCAAGAGCGGATAGATTGATTGCGGTTTTGTAGCCTGGTAGTCTGATACCCTACAGCTTGTAGAGTGTTGTGATTGAAGCACTTGGATTTGATTTGGAAGCATGTGTTTATTTGGTTGTTTTATTTTTTTGAATCACCTGTTGAATCATTTACTTACTTGGTAGTGAACATAGCAATTTAAATTTTCTCTCAAATGACGGGTATCTGTCAGTGCCAGCTATTTGTGCCATTGATCATTGTGTCGTTTTGTGCCTCGACTTTGTTTTGTCTACCATATTATCTGTAACCTGTCTTATGTTGCAGTGTTTATTCCATCGATGTCATTCTTTTAACATCGCCTTTCAGTTGACAGCAGTATATTGAGAGATACTAATCGTGGTAACGACGCTCTTAACCATGCTACTTTTGTTCATTATTATGGCTAGACTGCTCCCATCCCTCCTCACACCCCATCGCAACTATAGCTACCGATGGTGCGGCAAGCGCAAATGCCCCTGGTAATACCAGCCTAGTCAATGGTAGGTTGAGCAGCTCTCTGCTGTCCGTCCCTCACTGGCTCCGCCTCTCCTCCTCCTCCAGTTGTCTTGATCTTCCTCTCCTGCTGACTGTGCGTTCCTCTCAGTGCATGTCACCTCTAATCCCTCACTCATTTTTTGTTCTCCTCCCTCTTCTACCCTTTTCTCTTCCGTTATTTTATACGTATGCCAACAGCAGATTGTTCCATTGCTTGAAATAGGCTGTTTGACTATTACCAGAATAGTCCAGAGACTTGAGCATTTATTCAAATAAGAACTGCACCTCACCTAATTTTACATTTCAGTCATTTGAGTTTCGAAAAGAATATCTTGACTTATTGTGTAGTGTTTTTAATATGTTGGAAAACCATCAGAAAGACGGACAGATAGATAGATAGACAGACAGACAGACAGACAATTAGATAGATAGATAGATAGATAGATAGATAGACAGACATACAGACATATTAGATAGATAGATAGATAGAGAGAGAGAGAGACAGACAGACAGACAGATAATAGATAGATAGATAGATAGATAGATAGATAGACAGACATACAGAGAGAGAGAGACAGACAGAGAGATAGATAGATTGACAGATAGATAGATAGATAGATAGACAGAGCGATAGACAGACAGACAGACAGAGAGAGAGACAGACAGACAGAGAGAGAGACAGACAGACAGAGAGAGAGACAGACAGACAGAGAGAGAGACAGACAGACAGAGAGAGAGACAGACAGACAGAGAGAGAGACAGACAGACAGAGAGAGAGACAGACAGACAGAGAGAGAGACAGACAGACAGAGAGAGAGACAGACAGACAGAGAGAGAGACAGACAGACAGAGAGAGAGACAGACAGACAGAGAGAGAGACAGACAGACAGAGAGAGAGACAGACAGACAGAGAGAGAGACAGACAGACAGAGAGAGAGACAGACAGACAGAGAGAGAGACAGACAGACAGAGAGAGAGACAGACAGACAGAGAGAGAGACAGACAGACAGAGAGAGAGACAGACAGACAGAGAGAGAGACAGACAGACAGAGAGAGAGACAGACAGACAGAGAGAGAGACAGACAGACAGAGAGAGAGACAGACAGACAGAGAGAGAGACAGACAGACAGAGAGAGAGACAGACAGACAGAGAGAGAGACAGACAGACAGAGAGAGAGACAGACAGACAGAGAGAGAGACAGACAGACAGAGAGAGAGACAGACAGACAGAGAGAGAGACAGACAGACAGAGAGAGAGACAGACAGACAGAGAGAGAGACAGACAGACAGAGAGAGAGACAGACAGACAGAGAGAGAGACAGACAGACAGAGAGAGAGACAGACAGACAGAGAGAGAGACAGACAGACAGAGAGAGAGACAGACAGACAGAGAGAGAGATAGATAGACAGATAGATAGATAGATAGATAGATAGATAGATATTGGTTTTGTGTGTTTGGTTGCTCTTGTTCTTGTGGTGAGGTGGCTCTCCTCCTCTCTGCTCCGGTGGTGTTGCATGGCTCTTTCTCCTGCATGTCCAGTAGACTTGTGCTGTTCCTCTAGTCCTCATTGTGTTGAGTGTTTCTCCTCCATTTCTCCTCCATGGAATATCTGAATGATTACTACATAGTTCTTCCACTATGACAAATCATAGTGACCAACCTAGGAATGACTACCAAGTGTTTAAAATGTTGTGTAGATTCTACATATATTAGATATTCCATGGCATTCCTGTCAAAAAACCAACATGAAAACACACAGCTGAACTACTTTGGTTTGAACAAACACATACTGCATATACTTCAATATCAAATACATGCATTCAAGAAAGTAATGATTTGTAACATAACATTTATACCTCAACAGAGTAAATGAACTCAGCTGATATTTTATGTCACTGATACAAACCCATAATGCACCTCAGAACTTCATTATGAAAGAACTCTGTGTTATGTATGTGACTCACAATGATGTTGATAAATTACTCATTCTCTGTCTTCCTTTTTAATTTGATTTCACTGTAATGTCCATGTGATGAATGTTTTATCGTCTGCTTTCTGTTATTTTTGTCCTGTGTCTGTGGATGCCTTCATCTTAGGTAAAATGCAGGATGGAAATATGGAGAACAACCAGACCAAAGGTAACCTGCTTTCACTTTACCGCTGGTTTGAGCGCTCACCATTACTTTATTCCTCCTTTCCTTTGGCGCGTTCAGATGTCAGCTCATCTGTTTGTTCTGCTTCTCATGTGTGCGTCAGGGTCTCTCGATAACCTCACACTTTCTGTCTGTGTCGAAATCTCGGACCATTTGAATTCTGAAAGGAGTTTTTAGTGATCTGTAGCCTAGCTGTTTTTGCTCTTTGGTTATTCATCATATGGACAAAAATATCCAGAGGTGTCTGTATATTTCAAAGAATGGTGAAAATAAATTAGTCTATGCAAATATCGACAAGAGAAATGTATTTAATTTATGTGTTCAGCCAGTAGATGCTTCATTTTTTGCAACTGACTTTGCTTTTAGTATTAAATACTTTGCATTTACATTTGTCAGTAAATTTGCTCTTAAGTTTATTCTCATGATACAGTCTGGTTAAGGCATTGTGTCATCAAGTTTCTGATCATTTTCAGGTCTCCAGAGTTGCAAGTATGCGAAAGGTTTTACATTTTATAAGTAGTCCATGTGTTATATGTTGATATTCCCAACATGAAAAACAGTTTGTATAAACTTTATGTATGAGTAACTTAGATTGTGAGCTCCATTTACAGTATAAATGGGTTTAGACAGTAGATATTAAGCAGAACTTTTGTTTACCGTAACAAAGCTACAATGTGTAGCTATTACTGGTTTACATAGCTAGAAGAAAGAAAGTGATACAGGTTTGAAGCAAAATGAGGGTGAATGATGACAGAGCTTTATTTTTGGGTGACCTATCCCTTTAAATAAAGGGACTTCAAGATCCTTTGTCCCATATAAACTTGATACGGAGCGTCTGTCATCAGATCCCATGAAACGGTTTTTCAGTAGAGCAGACGTGTCTCAGTCATGTAATGATACCACGATTGACCTCTAATTGAGTTCCTGGATAAATGTGAAATTCATTCACCGGCTCGTGTTCCCTTTGAGACAGATTAATGTAGACATACAAAATAACATATTAATTTGGTGGCTTGGTGATAACGTATTGCCTGAAGATCAATGATTCTTTTCGAATATTGAAAAAGTGATGGCTAGTAGCTCAGAATGGTCATTCATACATCACGTTTAGTCGCCAACATGTCCAAGTTAGTATTAATATACAAACAAACAAACAAACAAACATAAAACAACCCAACAGTATGGTTCTTTTCTTCTGTGATTCTCTCACAATGACTACATGGCCAGTACAGTCAAGGTCCAGCTTTAGCTGTAGAAGTGAGCAAAGGTCAGACGCCGCATAACCCACATGTGTTATCATTACAGTGAAGAAGCAGGACGGTGCTGCAGCAATGGAGATGCAGCCCTTGAAGAGCGCAGAGGGCGGAGAGGCCGATGACAAAGAGAAGAAGAAAGCCAATGTCTCCAAGAAAGAGAAATCCGTTCTGCAGGGAAAACTGACCAAGCTGGCCGTGCAGATCGGCAAAGCAGGTGCGACGTGTTTTTAGGTTGTTTGGAGGATCAGGGTTTGACACTGGTTTTGTATTTTGTGCTGTTTTATCATTGCAGTGGAGCGCCATGCACTAATGCAATGTTTGCTGTGATCTGGTCCTCAGGTTTGGTGATGTCTGCCATTACAGTCATCATCCTGGTGCTTTACTTTGCAATCGATAACTTTGTGCTTCTGAAGAGGCCGTGGCTGCCGGAGTGTACGCCGATCTACATTCAGTATTTTGTCAAATTCTTCATCATTGGCGTTACAGTGCTGGTGGTGGCTGTTCCTGAAGGCCTTCCGCTGGCTGTCACCATCTCTCTGGCCTACTCGGTGAAGGTAAATGTGTTCCACATGAAGAACGTTTAGGCTGTAGCATATTTAGATCTAGTTTAACAATTTGATATTACATGAACCCACTCTGTAAAAAAAAAAAAAAATCAGTAGTTTTTACAATTTTATTTTGGGAGCTTCTGTGAACACATTTGCAGAACAAACTGTATATTTTACAGTATAGAACTGTAATTTACAAATATGGTAACACACAACACTTAAATAATGCAATAATCATTAAACAACAACAGATGTAATACAAAACCCAAAGGTACTGATATGTGTCCCTGGAGCACAAAAGCAGTCTTAAGTCGCTGGGGTATATTTGTAGCAATAGCCAACAATTCATTGTATGGATCAAAATTATAGATTTTTCTTTTATGCCAAAAATCATTAGGATATTAAGTAAAGATCATGTTCCATGAAGATATTTTGTAAATGTCCTACTGTAAATATATCAAAACTTAATGTTTGATTAGTAATATGCATTGCTAAGGACTTCATTTGGACAACTTTAAAGATGATTTTCTCAATATTTAGATTTTTTTGCACCCTCAGATTCCAGATTTACAAATAGTTGTATCTCAGCCAAATATTGTCCTATCCTAACAAACCATACATCAATGGAAAGATTATTTATTCAGTTTTCAGATGATGCATAAATCTCAATTTAAAATTTAAATTTAATTTAAAACTATTAAGAAACATGATTATTTAAACAAAATACTTTAAATGTGGAGTGTCACGCAGGGAATCCTGTAAATGTCAGTTTACAGTTTTTGACTGTAAATTATGTTGATTTGTTCTTTTTTTACTTCTAAAAACTGTACAATTAACAACATTTTACAGTAAAATTACATACATTTTCTAGTTAGATCTTTTGCAGTTTTTTTTCTCCATTGTTTTTTTCTCCATTTCTCCATTGTGTTTTTACAATATTTTACCGTTAAAATTACACTAATTTTTTACAGTGCAGACAGCAATTTTGGGTATCATAGGATCAGTTTTAATAGTTTTAAAATGCTTTATTTATTTTTATTTTGGGAAACCTTTCCTCCATTACAAAATGACATGAATGAGATGATTGTTTTCAATGAACCCGTTAAACCAGTTGATGATTAAATCACATTGGACAACTCATTTGCAATCATATCAGAGAGGTTTCTATAAATGTTTATCTCATTTCTGCTTGCCTTCAGCAGAAATTGACTCCCACATCCTGTGCATGCTCACTTTAAAGTCAGCATAAAATGAAAATTGATTTGAGTCTGATTTTATATGTGCATTTGTTTTATTTATTTATTTTTTTAAATATTTGACTTTGTTGTTTTGGTTACGCTATATTTTTAGGTGTCCTTGTCACAGTGTAATTATACATTTACGTACTGAGTAATATTAACTACATGTACTTACTATATGGTTAGGGTTAGGATTAGGGTTTGGCTTAGTGTTACTTGCATGTAATTATGCATAATTAATTGTTATTATAATAGTAAGTACATGTAACATGTGTAACAAGGACACCTTAAAATAAAGTGTTACCCTTGTTTTTAATAAAATTTCATAACTTGTCGCTTCCAATCAAAATGTCAGACCCACATTTCAAAATCCAGTCAACAACCAGTGTATAGATCCAACTGTGAGCGATATGCTGTTCATGTTGAAATTGCCATAATTTTGTGCTTTTTGACTTTACATTCATGAATGATTACTTCACAATGTATAACTACAAATTGGAAATACTGAATTTCATGAAATCTCTGAACTCTCTCATTTGATGTTTGCGGTGTCGCATAAGAACCTCAACAGGTAAAAGTCACTAGGTAGCTATTATGCATACACAGATGTATTTTATTACCATCAAAGCTGCCTATGGATCTGTGTCGGTGTAATTCCAAAAATGGCAATAGAAATTATTTTAGAAATAAATGTTTTCTGTCTGGCTGTGTGAACAGCTTACAGTAGAGTAATTCCAACATGTCCTGAACACATCCTCAAAAAAAAATAAAATACAGTTGCAGCCTTTTTATGTCCCATTTCACTTAGAAGGTTATTTATGTCGACAGGTACTCATATAGGTAGAGGACAGAGCAGTTTTTAGACGCGTTTAGAAGATGTTGTATTAGCTAGTTATCTGTATCAGTCATGTGGTTACATCACATTTAAATATGACTATTTTGTCTTTTGTATGTGCTTATAGAAAATGATGAAGGATAACAATTTGGTACGCCATCTGGATGCTTGTGAGACCATGGGCAATGCCACAGCTATCTGCTCAGACAAGACTGGCACACTGACCACCAACCGAATGACAGCAGTGCAATGCTATGTGGGCGATGTCCACTACAAGGAGATACCAGACCCCAGCTCCATCCCACCCAAAACTCTGGAAATACTGGTCAACGCTATATCCCTCAACAGCGCCTACACTACTAAAATACTGGTAAGACATAGAAACCTTCAGCTGTTTGGCTAACACTGGTGTTATTTCTGCAACAACTGCTTTGCAACAATAGATTTTAATGTTATTACTTATATAGACTGCCTGGCCAAAAAGTTGCACACTATTTGTTGGACTTCCTTTATCTTTGATTGCACTGTGCATTAATTATAGCATTGTTTGGACAGCCTTATGCAACATATCATGTTCCCTGAACAACTCTTTCACATTTTGAACCAGATGAATCTTGTCACATTGTCACCCTGGATTATGGTCATGGGATACATCTACCAGCATGGCTCTTTAAGAAATGAAACGCTACACATTGCATTAGATACAGTTAAACAAATTGTTGCCAAACATATGCCAGAGACATTAATTCAAGTCAAGTCACCTTTTATTTCTATAGCGCTTTTTAAAATTGTAATGCGTCAAAGCAGCTTCACGGTGATAAACCACAGAATAGCTGAATCCATTATGGAAGCTCAACTATGGAGCCAATTCAGATTCTTCTGTAAAGCAGCTGTAAAAGACAATAGTATCACTTTTTAGCTCAAGTCAGTTTAGTGTTGGATTCAGTGTTAATTGCTGCAATAATGACCCAATCATAGACTCTTAAGTGGTTGCTTATGTAATCCAAACAATGGCTTTTTTGACCAGTTAGTGCAATACACTAGGGTCTGCAGAAACACATGAAACATCACCCTCACGTCAGGCAAATCCTCCAAGACTATGGCTTTCTTTCTTCTGTGGAACTCAAAAGAAGATGTTTAGCAGAATGTGCATTCTGCTCATCCTCTAAAAAGAAAATAAAAGCACCATAATAGCATCACAAAAGTGACAGCATTAGGTAGAGTGCTGCTTACACCTATTTGACAAACGATCGTTGAAGTGAATAAAGGACATTGAATCAGTGTGTGTTTACTCTAGTAACTGAATCAATGATTTGGTGTTTCTGATGCCATGCTCACCAGATGAGCTTCAGCAATATTAGCACATTTTTGCTTCTTCATTACTACCAACATCAATTTTCGAGATGGCTAAACTCATTGTTGTTTGAATTGCAGTGCCTTGAAAGTATACAGTTGTTTCAGTTTTATATAAATTGAACAATCACATTCAGCATCACAATAGGAAAGCAATATCTATGAATTCCAAACGAGGAAAAAAAATCACAAACCTACAGTGTGGTGTCCTACATAGAGTAACCCACCGATGAAATCCTAGCTTACTGGAATCAGGACTGTGTTTGCGTTAGGCCTTCTCATGTACACATTTCCGTATGTGCTGTGTGTTCTTTGAGGACCAAGAATGCTGCAGAATAATTGCTGTGTATTTTGGAGCACCAGTTTGGGTTGGTTTCCAAAAATGAGCAGTCTGCAAGGAAACAGTTGAGACAATGAGACAATGAAAATCAGAACACGTGAGCTCCTCTAGGTTCTGGGGGCTGGAATCAGATCTGTTCTGTATCTCGGTTTAAGAAGCATAGAAACTGAAAGCAAACCCATTGAACGGCACAGCACACTAACACTACTTACAGAACTCGTCCTTGGAGACCAGTACCGAGAGCTTTCATAACCTTACAAAGCAAGACTTGGATAAGCATATCATTCCAGACGTCTTGTTTTAACACAAACTGAAATGAGCAGAACTCTTTATCCCTGGAGAGATCCCCCCAAGCTACTGTGCTTTGCTGCTCCATTATGTAATTAATGCATGACCTTCTCCTCACCCAACACTTGTGAGCTCCTTCAGCAAACTTTCCAAACTCTCCTTCCCATCTCAGTGCTGCTAGATTTATGCTATATCGGAATATCGTGCTTTTAGGTGCAACGGCTTATTTGCACGGTTTTACCAACACACTTTTACCTGTATTTGATATAGATTTAGCATTCATAATTTAGAGTGGTTATGAAGCATGTCTCAGTAGTACGAGTGGCTGGTGCTCAGCCACGAAAGAGTTAGTGGAATCCTGAAATCGGAGTAGGCCACACAGTACAGGTGACGCTGCTGGCATGTACACTGATACTTCAGCCGGTAGTCTGAGCTCTGCGGAGACTTCTTGTCGCTCTGATCTCAGGTTGCTTCTACCAACTGTTCCGTCAGACCTTCTGGCCCTCTGATTGGAGAGGTCGGGTCTGACACTGATGCCATGTTCCCGGGCTCCCATAAATTCTTGATTGGAGGTTACATGTCCGTATGCGGCGCTGTGTGTGTGTTTGAGGACTGTTCAGTAGGTCATCGGCTGTAAGCTCTGGATTCTTAGTTACACCAAAGACAGATGCAGTTAGCCTTTCTTGCATCTTTTTAAGAGGTTTGTTTGAGCACAGAGTATCGGTTAGCGATTAACACATTGTTGCATGTGTTTTATTCATGCTTGATGTGTTTTTTCTGGGCTTCAGCTTGGGAATCTGGGAACGGGTCCATTCAGTGACTCCACACTGAACACTCTGGTTTCTGTCATCAGGATGATGAACGACTCTGTGAACAGAACCATATGATTCCATTCAAATGCCTGTTACCTGCAGTATAAAGGTACCATGGTGCATGAATATGGACATCATTCAGTACTGTGGTAAGACATATTCAGGGATGTCATTTTATGGTCCTGTCAAACTCTTAAAACAAGCCGGAATAGCTTTTAGTCAAGACCGACTTGGCAAAGTCACAGTCTCTTCCATAATGTATATTAGGGATGGGAGAAGTTACTGTCCAAGGAGTTTAGTTCCATTCCCGATCAAAGACACCTTTCTGTAATTTTCAAGCAATCCTGAAGACTTAGGTTTGATTTCTTAGATGTATTTGATTAGGGATTGAGTTAAAGAGAGTTCACGACCCCTAGTTTTACTATCTGATACCATCGTTAAACCATGGTTTTCTAAGGTTTATGCTTAGACAAAACGTCTGCCACTAGTCATATGTAAAGTTGGGGTACTCGATGCCGGACTAGGAACCAAGTCTGGAACCGAGTGCAATTATGAATGAATTCGAATGACTCAAAACATATTCAGGTGAATTTAAACTTATTGGACTTAGACCCAACACTAGTCTATATGCTGGAAAGAATACTGCCCTACTGTTTTGGGAGCAGTTTTTTCATCGTGCTCATGACAAGGTGAAATATCTCGCTGTCTCGTGTTTGATAAGTTTTGGGCATTTTCATTTTGGGCAAAGTCGTTTGTCCGGCTGCAGCCGCTCCATGTGGCTCAGGGTCTCTGCCAAAGTCTCTCTGCGATGCCTCGGGCTGCCACTCATTCATTTTAGCCAATCAGCTTTGGCAGAGAGCTCACCTCATGGCCTGAGACAGGGGCTGTCACTGTCAGTGTAGGTAACACTGTGAAATCAAAGAGGGGCTATGAAAATGACCTTCTAGGGGACACAAGAGGGCATCCGCGGCTCCTGCAGCGAGAAGGAGAATAGATCGAGGGCCCGTGTGGAGCGCAGGAGCCGAATAGGGCCGTAAAGAGGAAGTAGTGCTGCCAGAGCATGTTTTGCCATATGCCATGGTTCGTAGGAGTGCGTGCTGACCAGGGAGAAGACAGCTGTTCAGGAGAGCTTTGCGTGCCAGCACCTCTCCGAGGGGTGCTATGAAATCCGCATCAAATGCATGAGCAGTCTTGAATGACCCAGGTGAGCAAACACGAGATACTTTTTAATGTAGTTTCTTCCTCTGAGGTACACTTAGTGAAGTTAGTAAAGTTCTTGTGGAAAAAAAAACGTAATTTAGCTTTAGTTATAATTCTGTTTTTTCCACCCTCTCTCTGCCCTGGGAATTAAATGGTCCACTTTCGATTACCCAGTAGGCCATTAACGTGTAAACAAGCCAGTCACAGTCTGATGCCCAGACATAAATCAAAATGTGTAACACGTACACTGGTTTTGTTTGCTGAAATTTCTCAATTTCTCCGCTACAGCGTACAGAAATTCTACTGTATGCACATTGTGAGTCATCTTGCATACGCTACATTGCAATGCAGCAGTGATGCATGTTGGATCCTGTCAAGCCTAGTTATGAGAAATGCTGGAAAAGTAAATCAGAAAGTTAACTCACAATCAAAGTCTCTATGGGCATTTCAGCATTTCTTCTCATCAATAATGAAATCAAATTCCCTGGAGAAATTCTAGCTGGGTAGTGTTGGGTGCTGGATTTTGTTCAAGCAAATTGCAGACAGTGAGATTTGATTTGGTTTTGTGGTCTGAAAATAATATGGACCTTTTGTTTCTTTTAAGCTTTTTCGGGCTTTCATACTGTACGTATATGCAGACACTTATTCTTTGAAAGACGGTTTGGATCACATATAGATGTTTTAAGAGAAACATGCCCCTTTGTGGAGTGGGATTGCAGACATGTTATTAAATACCAGTGATTGCAGGAAAGACACAGTGTTAAAGTTATGAAGAGCCATCTAGCTCAGCACGGGTTCTGTTTTCTGTTGGACACAATGCATCTTGGGAGCATGAAGTAAGTTGTAAATGAAGGCAAGAAGGTAGAGGCCAATTGCAATTCAACATGATTGAAAGATAGAAGACCAAGCTGACCTTAGTTAATATATATTTTACAAGTTCACTTTGAACTCCCAGTGACAATGAGAGATTGCTTTGCCTTAAATGGAGTCCGAAAAGTGAACGTTAAGAATCGACGGCAGAAGATTAATACTTTAGTGTTTGAGATTTATAACAAACGCAAACCATGGAATTGAATATTAAAAACCTTCTGCTGTTTATACGGCTGTGATGAATTGCAAAGAAACTTCGTAAATGACCTCAGCAAACTTACCAAAATAATTTATTACGCTCGATGCAGCATAGCCCATCATGAGTGCAGGTCGCTAAGCAACGGTTGCCGTTACCTGTAGACAGGTGGTCAGTTATGCGACCCTTAACGATCGTCAGCATTCACAGAACAGAACAGAGTGCACTATTTAGCTTGTTACCATGCAGCAGGTATCTAAAACCTCTTTGGCTTTCTTCCATCCCAGCCTCCAGATAAGGAAGGAGGTCTTCCCAAACAAGTGGGCAACAAAACCGAGTGCGGCCTGCTGGGTCTGGTCCTGGACCTGAAACGAGACTACCAGACCATCCGGAACCAGATCCCAGAGGAGAAACTCTACAAGGTGTACACCTTCAACTCCGTGCGGAAGTCCATGAGCACCGTCATCAAGCTTCCAGACGGCAGCTTCAGAATGTACAGCAAAGGAGCGTCCGAAATCGTCCTTAAAAAGTGAGCGCCTTTCATCTGCTCTCTGATGCTTCAGCTCTCGAACCTGCAATTTGCCGTAAAAACATTTTGGTGTCTCAATAGCAGTTGGAGGGACATTATGTTGAATTACTGTAGCTTCATGTGCCTGGAATCATTTAGATGTGCTCTTTGCGGAATTACATAATGAAGAAATGTCCTCAGAAAGTCAGAAATTGCTGTAATGAAGGGCCTTGTATTTTAATGTGAACGTGTCGGCTTCAGGTGTAGTGTCATTCTGAACGAGACGGGCGAACCCCGCGTCTTCAGACCGAGGGACAGGGACGAGATGGTGAAGAAAGTAATCGAACCCATGGCCTGCAATGGGCTCAGAACCATCTGCGTGGCCTACCGCGACTTTCCTGCAGACCCGGAGCCCAACTGGGAGGACGAGAACAACATTTTGACTGAGCTGACCGCAATATGTGTTGTTGGAATTGAGGATCCTGTCAGACCTGAGGTGAGAAATGTCTTCACGCTTCATCATATCGTATTTCACAAATTTGTATATAATGTTTTGCATCAGGAGAGCACACCTGTAATGTGACCTCTGCCTCATCATTTGTGACCCTGGAGCACAAAACCAGTCATAAGGGTCAATTTTT